TGTTACTTTTATATACACGCTCAAATAAACATATAATAATTAAAATAAGTTAAGATAATAAGCGAGGCTATCTCACTGGTTCGCCAGTTCTTCTGAATGATGAATAAAAGTTGATTGAAGTAAAATATATAATACTAATAAATAATTTGACGTTAAATAAATAAAAAATAGTTTGTTATTAATAAAAACTTCAATTCTGATGTATAGTCTTACCTAAAATTGATAAATTGTCAACTTTTTAGTCTAGCTGTTTTAAAGCAACATACATAGCATCCCGACCGCTACTATCTCTGTCCTATCCCAGCAGACCTGACCAGCCCTAGTCGCAAGGCGCTGGCTATAGCAGATATAGTGTGTTTGACATATTATTACATTCTTCTTTAGTCAAGCTTCAATCAGACGCTCTTAGACTAGAACAATAACATTTATTTGACCATACTCACCCCATAGGGCTTCAATTATACGTCGAAGAAGCATAGTTGTCAAAAATACCTGTACATTGCTTGTGAATCTAGCAGTAATATTGTGAAGATCTGTTTCTTACACAGATAATGAATGTGAGACATCACAGAAAACTCGAAAGATTTATATGGTCCCCTTGTGGCGCAGGGTAAGTCTGTGGGCTTATAACGGTAAACTCGAGTTTCGATACCAACGATTGCAGAGCACAGTTGGTCCATTGCGTAGTTTTGCGCTTAAAAACAAACCAACAAACACGTTGATATTTATATCACATTAACAATTTTGTCTGTTTAATCTCATGAATTATAAACCATAAAGCTGACTAGAGGTTTCTTTATTGTTTTTCTACTCGATCCAGTTCTCTGCACTTCAAGGATTATCGAGAAAGTTCTTCACTAAGGAAAAATATATTCACATTGTAGTTATTATGTTTGTGTGTGCGTGCCAGCGGGAGCGAATGTAATAACTTATTTCGATACTCTACTTTAGGTTATCTACGGTCAATTGTTTGCCCGTTAAGGACGAATATAGGATTCGTGATAAAGGGAGTGGGTTATTCTTCTACAAGATCATGAAACCTTTTAAAAATTGTTTTTATATCTGTTGATGATAAATATATTAGAAAATCAGCTTTGCAGTAAATTTTAGGTGCTTTTTTATAAACTTCTCCCAGAATTTTTTTAATTCCGAAAGGCAAGTTTATTTAAACTGACTATGACCTATTAATAAAATAATTACCTTTTTATGCTTTCAGAGTTTCTAGCCTAGTGCAGTAGCTTACAAAATGCTCAGCCTGTGTACCCTTTGACTAAGCTAAAACTTTAGATATATGGCTATGCGAAACACCTCTATTGCAAAGTTAGTCAAATGAGTAAGTGGTATTTGCAAACTGTTTATTATTACATTAGAAAATTACTTGCAATAAATTATTGTGTGTATACCACCTCAAACATTCTTCGATGTAACCAAATGTGGTTGTTGGTTTACCCTTCTCCTCCCACGAAGTTTCAGGGGAAAAAAATGTTCCACCTATGTTTTGTTTTCGCTTTAAACATTTTTTTTTCAGGATTACAAAGATAACAATAATCCCATCTCAGAAATTTCTTTCTTCGCTACGATATTGCTAACATTTACTGTTAATTGAAAGTCACTGACCTAGAAAATTAGAGTCAATTTGCCATAACTAGTTTTTAACTCAGTATCATTATTATTATTTTGTATATAAGAAAACTGCAAATTGAATCCAGTAAATTTATAGAAACATACTTAATAGTTTTTACTTTTCATATTGAGGACGTTTTTGTTCTTTTAAAAGGATGTGTAAATCAATATTCTGTGTACAGACGTGGTTGGGTAATATGAAACCTGCGTACAATGTTTTCAATTTATGGCGTATTTCTATGTCCTTAGAGAATGTTTTGATCAGGCAGGTTAAACGCCAGTATGTTTCTTCGTTCCTCGGGTCATGCTCGGAGCGTGATCTTAGTACCCCTATTTTTAGATAGATCAAACATAGGGGACAATTAAATGTTATTCAGTGACAGTAAGTATCATGATATATATTACAAGTTGAAATTATCTTCATGTACTGGCGGTTCCCTAAAAAACATAAAGATTTCATGTTTTAAGAGATAAAAAACACTTAAGGTAACAACAGCACAAACATTTCAAGTTGAGAAGAAAACTTAATGACTCATATTTGTAAAGATGACACGGCCCTAAAAAGTGTGTCGTCGCAGTTACTTAGAGCAATTTCAGTGCTTACAACGGGGCCAGTTCTGAACGTCGTAGAGAACAGTGCAGACTGTGCAGTAGGATTCTAGGCTGCAACCGCTGTGTATGACCAGTTTGTCCGGAAATCGAGGACGACCAGTTCTGGAAGATATCACGTGACCCAGTCCTATATATTGTTGATTGTCTCAGGCGCTGGTTTCTCAGTTGTATGCAATAGAACCCTGCTGACTCAAACATTCATTTGAACAGGTAAGGGTTATTTGTATGTGGAACCGGTTCCGACTAGAACTCAACATATAGTTAGCATTAATTATCCTTTTTAAAAAATCTCATATTGGGATAACGTATACTGAAATAAGGAGTTATCTAGCATAATTGAAATACGAAAAAAAATATTATGGAAAACGGCATAAAATTGTTAATAGCAGGTTAATGGAATGTACCATTGATATTTTAACAAGATTAAATAGTCGTCGATTACCATTATCATTATGTTAAACATCTGATTAGGCATTGTTTGAAGACTGTCTAGTGAGAGTCATGTTCTATGATCGGGTTATAACCGAGTGGGGGTACGTTAAAAATTAAATCCACTTGGTAAGGCACGTTAAAACTAGCATATCTGGAAAGAAAACGAATAAAACCATTTTGTGAATGGTGCTGAAATGGAAAATTTAAGAGGCAGTTATGATACCCAAGTGTATCTTCTTTAAGAGATGCAGTAATTGAAAACGACTAAAGTAGAAGATTAAATCAGCAACAACAGAGTGAAATCCGTTTTGTTGTGTACGATAGAATGTAGTTTTGAAAAGTAACCAGATTTCAAGATCATCAAATTAAACTGTCTTATTGGGTTGTGGTGAACCAGAGCTTTAACTAAGGTGGGGCGTCCGTCTTGGGCGCAAAACTGTGAGGGGCGGCAAAATGACTTAAAGTTCCTTGTTACGTAGCTAGTTAAACGGTAATTTCGAAAGATGAATGATCGAAGTTCATTATATAGACACATTTTCATTTATATTTAAATAGACTCAGATATGTTTATTTTATTTCTCATAAAATATGAGATAAACTTTTTATTTTACAGTGAAGCCTGAATATGCATTCCGCCGTTATAAGCTTGATATTATTCATCTTGACGTTGACGACACAAGTTTACTGTCATAAAGATGGAGCTCCCTCTCGTGCTTGCTTAAGTATGACTCCTCAACATGACGTAGAAGCCCAGATTAGCAAATCTCCGTACAACATCTCTACAAGCAAATCTTCTGGTAAAGTAGGGGATGTTATTTCAGGTAGGCAGATGTATGTACAATATTGTTACCACGGAAAATTAACTAACGACCAGAGACACTAAAGTTTCTTCGGAAAGAATTTTCGACACAAGTCCTTTCTTAAGTAAAACTGGTTTATTCTTTCTGAATACAACTTTGCAATACACTTAATTTCCACAGTCGCGCTATAACAAACGCTATAATTCACAACGAACGTCTCACGTGCTCGACTCAACAATACGTCTCTCTGTCCGCAGTTCAATTACACAGCATTACATTGTTGCCGTCACGTCTTGACTGTCTTATATATAAAAGAATACCGAAATCTAGTAACCTTCCGAGGATTCAGGAAGCTTCGAGAATATGACGTGTTACTAGTATCACGTGACCTCCGCTGTCGTAACAGAGTGTTGTATTGAGTATCATCACATTAGTCAGGCAGACTGTTGTTAACTACAGTTTCATGTGATAAACTTATTGTGGCCTACATTACTTGTGTATGACATGAAACTGTAGTTAACAATTGTAAGTGGAACAATATAACAGTATGGTTCTGTGAAGAATTGTAAGGTGACAGATGTAACAGTATGGTTCTGTAAATAATTGTAAGTGTACAGATATAACAGTATGATTCTGTGTTGAATTGTAAGTGGATAGATATAACAGTATGGTTCTTGTGGAGTGCAGTTACATGTGACCATGTTTGTCTTTTTTTTTCCAACCAAACATGCTCACCCTTTCAGCTGTGGGGTATTATATTGTGACGGTTAATCCTACTAGTAAAAGAGTAGCTCAAAAGTTGGCTTCCCTCTAGTCTTTCACTGCTAAATTAGGACGGCTAGCGCGAAATTCCAAATAAACCAAACTGTCATTTCTTTCAGTTTATTATCACCAAAGGTATCTAGTTCACTTTCCAGTAAAATTACTTTTATTTTCTTTATTCAGTTAGAGTTTACATTTATTAATTTTTTGCTCTAATACAATTTATTTAATTTTTAACTTGTAATTCATTTTTGTTTACTCCATTAACAAATGTCTATTTATGTGTATCTACACAGACAGTTATACCTCTTTCATTCCATCCTCCACAAATGCCTATAACCGCATATTCAAATACCAGATCTGTGAACTGCTTCTGTTTCAAAATCGGGTAACTCTGTGCTTGTATCACGGTTAAAATAAATGATACTTCCACCTTTCATTAACTAGCTTAGAATGTACCTGTAGTAAGTGTTTTGCGTGTAGTTATGGCATTCTTATTAACCAGATGTTAATAGGTTATAAACATATGCTAGTCCTTTTAATTAGATACGGCAATGGCTATTTCAAAAGCTTGTATTAGTTGACTATGTCCATTCTCTAGGCGGGGCAAGTCCATCTAAAAGTGTAACACAGTTGGGGGTTATTTTCATTTTATGTATTATTTGGAGTAATTAGTGACGTATGTCATCCATGAATTATTAAATGTTGCATTTAAACCCTTCATCTGACATGAAAATATGGGGGTATATAGTTCTTTTTTGTTCTACTCTGGTGCAGACGTCTGTAAATCCTTTCCAACCCCAGTAGCCAGTTTGAATATGAACATTTAAGAACTGGTCAGTTTTGTGAATATATACACACACGTTGCAGTGAATAAAGATTTTTATGATTGTTCACTTATGTTTGTGTTTCTTTTGTTGTTTTATTTATTCCCTATACCCTTTCCAGAACCAGCTATATTACAAAACTTTAGGCTACCAATTGCATATCATTGTACGTAACTACGGCCAAAAAGGGATTCTTTGGTTCTTCATGACCGTACTTGATACCTACCCTCATTCCGTAAGTAAATCACCATGTTAGAAAAATAAATATGTCTAGCATGAATAAAACTATCTAGAATGATTTTTCCAAATCTTAAACTAGTGTCCTCTCGTCCTATTGTCTTCAAAATATAGCAAAAGTAAATGAGAAGCCATTATCTTATATATATCCCCCAGACGGTCTTTTAAACTTTAAGAAAAATAAGTTAAAAACTTTAGCCCTATGTATGATAACCCTTCCATCCTCAAATCATTTTAGTAGTCATTTCCTATAAGTTAATGTCCTTTCTTAGATAAGGATACCAAAACCGTACACACTATTCCAAATGAGGCCTAACTAGTGATTTGTATAGAGAGATAATTAGCTCTTTTGGCTTGTCAACCTTTGCCATTAAATACACTCTAAAATTTTATTACTTTTACTACTACTTCAACGGATTGTGTAAATATTCACATCTATGCTAAGTTCTTTTTTCACTTACGCTGTTAAAAGGGTTTCTATTTATAATAAATGTGTGATCCAATTCATGATAATCCACATGCATTATTGTGTTTTTTTAATTAAAGGTCATTTGCCAAATATTTGTCCAACTTAAATAGTAATCCAACTCATTGTGTAATATTGCAACATTCTCAGTACAACTAGAAGTATACAAGAGTTTAATGTCATCAGGAAACTTTATTAATTATATCAATATTATTAATGCAAATAAGAAAAAGCAAAGAACAATGCATTGACCCCTAAGGCATTAGAGAAGGAAAAGGGGTCCATTTAAACTGGAGCATGACCCCCAAGGCACTAGAGATGGAAAAGGGGTCTATTTAGACTGGGCTCCAGTAATAACAATCTTTTTATTCCTCCAATCCAATTAATTATTTTTACTCCAATCCCTAACGATGTAATTTGTTAAGCTAGTACTCTTTTGTGAGATACCTTATCAAAATTATTTAAATAAAATATTAGTGCATCAAGTCCACACCCCCTTCTATCGTACAGTAGCATCCTCGAAAAAGATAACAGATTAGTAAGGCATCACTTCTCTATGGTGAATCGATGTTGACTTTCTTTTATGAAATCATGTTTCACTAAATGATTAATACAGCATTTTTGTTAACAGGTCCTTCAGAGTTTTTCCCACTACATAAGTAACACTAATTGTTCTATAATTTTCACAATAACTGTTATTGCTTCGGATTAAAAAAATATGAGTAAAATTAGCAACTTTCTGATCCTCAGGCACATACCCACCATCTACTGACCTACCAAAAATTAAAGAAAAGAAATCGCATATCTGATCTTTACTCTTGTTTGCCCTTGGTGATTTATCTATTTCTAATCTCTCAGTCTTTCTACTTATCACCAAGGGATTAATATATACACGATTTAGGAAAATCCAAATATTTCCCATATAAATCTCAGTGTAAAAACTATTCCTAGTATATTCCCGGTGGTACAGCGCTAAATTTACGGATTTACCACGCTAAAATTCAGGGTTCCGTTCCTCGCGGTAGACACAGCAGAAAGCCCAATGTGGTTTTTGCTCTAAAACAAATAAACCAGCAATTGTTTTAGACGTGTTGTGACGACTGAAAGAAACTACTAGTTTTTCCCTTTCCAAGAATTAAATCATATTTTTAGACTTGTTTGTTTTTATAAATCTTTGTGAAGGCATTCTGCTTGTAGTTAGTGACATTTTTGTTAAACGGATGTATAAAATCCGCAACATTGCACAGTGGCGGCTCTAGGAGATTTTGAGCTCTCGGCAGGACTTCCACATGGACCCATGAATACGCAAACACTATTCTACAATGCCCAGTTCCCTACTAGTACTTGTTTACTATGTATAATATAACAAGTTGCCCAGCAGTAATACAGCGGATTTTTAATAGATTGTCATTCGTGAACATAAAATTAATTATCGCCCATGGGCCATGATAAACTGGCGATCAGAACCCATATGGGTCTCTTGGCGAGTCTTAGACGCTGCTAGTTCGCCTTGGTCTAAAATCACCACTGGCCTTGCACTAAACCTCCAGCTAAGACAAAAATTAATAACCAAAACGTTCTGTAAGGTTTATACTTTTTGACCCTCCTAGATTAAGGTTAAACTCCGTCAGTTCAAGTGGTGAATCAGACACTTGTACAAGTCAGTATGATTGAATA